AAATTAGTCCTTGCTCCTTCCATGAAGAGAGGCTCAGTCATTTTCAGTGGGCTTACCTGATGAACCAGCAAAGCTCAGCTGCAGGGTATGAAATCAGAGTTTGCTTCTGGGTCAATTTAGTGTCACGTTTTTGCCTTTTGTTTTGTAAAATAAAAATTTTCATTCTAAAAAAAAATTAAATTAGGAAATATAAGGAACTGGGTAGAGTGATGCCCTCTATTAACTCCAGCACTTGGGAAGCAGATCTCTGTGAGTTCAAGGCCAGCCTTGTCTACATAGTGAGTTCAGGCTACCTGGACAGTTCTTGGAATGTCTTAGCACCAAGGGAACATAGCAGCAGGTTTGACCACCACCAAAAGTCTGGAGGTGGCTTCACCAAAGCATGAACTTCTGTAAGGATAAATTATACGACCGAAACTCACACGTTTGATTTATGGCTACATTGTGAAAAGTCCAGAGCATATGTTGCTGCCCAGCAGCCATGCTCACAGTGGGAGTGGAGGAGTGTGTGCGGCAACAGCTCAGGATTCATCCTGGAACAAACCTCTACTCCACTGGAATAATTCAAAACAACGAGATGCCGTCCTTGTTCCTGATAGACCTGGGAGGTATCCGACAGTGCCTTTGGGATAACATTCAAATCAACAGGGATGCATTAAGATCCCCAACTCTCACCACAGAGTTCCCCGGCTATGTAAAAACCTAGCTGGAACTACACGCACATCTCCTTCCAGGTGTGCGTTCCTGGGCTGACCTTCAGCTCACTGTGTCAGGCAGTGATGCTAACAGACTATATTTTAAAATGACTTGGGGGTGTCTAGCAATAGAAATAGAGAATTAAAGCTAACACAATGGATGGGAAAGGAAAGCATTCAAGAGACACTGCTGACATTGGTTCCTTGGCAGTCTAAGGAAGCAGTTTGGCTTTTGAACTTGAAGTTAAATACTTCAGTCTTTTTGCTTTGCCTGTTTTTATTAATTGTCTCTGCTTCCCGGAGGATTTAGCTTAATTAATCCAATGTCAAAGCAGAGATCTACAAATTTAGGTTTAATTTTAAAACATGCTTTTTATAGTCCGATATTTCCAGCATAATGAATTCCCTGTGTTATTAAAAGTTTGATTAAAGTGGGACCTAAAAATACCCTATCAGAAGCTTACTGAATACATCCCTGAACGTTATTCAGTGGCTTACTCCGAAATCCTTATAGCTTAAATGTGCCTAAAATTGCTATAAGCATTGCTAAGGCAAATCAAAATGGCCATAATTCCATAGAGTCGTGGAAGAAAGAAAAGTAGACCGACTCTTGAGAATTGCTATGAGGATGGGTGTGGACGGTCAGCCAATCTGTGACGGTCAGTCACCAGTCTACCGCTAGAGGGCAGTAGCAGCCAACAGTAGTGTTCCCGAGATAGTTGAGGAGGCTTCCTCAGAGGGCTCATTAGAAGCCCCTGTAAATACATTGTCTCTGGAAAGGAAAGGGGAAACAGGAACCACCTCCCAGGCTTTTGTCTCTGGTAACAATAAAACAGGAAATAAGCAACAGGGGCTTGAGAAAGAGAACGACCTCTCTCTCCACCCTCAGGTCCTTCTATCACAAAGGAGATGGTGACTGATTTAATAATGTAACCTTATAGGTAGCGATCTCCATACTGGGATGTTCAGCCAAGATCACCGACAGCCATTGATGGAAACAGAGCACTCTTCGAGGATTTGGGACACACAGAACAATCTGTGGGGAGCTGTTTTATCTCAGAAAATTAGTTGGGACGGGTACTAGGAGTGTCCTGGGGTGAACTCTGCGTTTATTTAATTTAGATGTGTAACACGGGAACATTAAGATAATTAGAGTAATCTATGGAAATCTATAACATTTCTTTGAAAATTTTCCAGGAAGCTAATTAGCACAAAGAGGGATCAGTGGTGACAAACGTGCCCTCTGTGTTTTAAGTAGGTATTTTTATTGGTCTAGAGTTACCCATAAAGTGAGATGAATCAGATATTTCTAATGTGTTCTCATGACTAACATCTGTTCTTGTTTTTATTCATAATTGTCACTAATATCATTGAGCTATAATCTGAAAAAACTTTTAGGACTTGAAATAAAGAAATTAAATTATTCCTTAATTTAATGTTGTTTCAATTCAACATTCATTGAACACTTACAATTGAAAGAGAAAAAACAGTGCCTCTCTCTCTCTCTCTCTCTCTCTCTCTCTCTTTCTCTCTCATGGTGTGTGTGTGTGTGTGTGTGTAACAAGAGAGAATGTTAAAAACTTAATTACACCCACATGTTTTAAAGTCAGCTTCAAATAAAAATGAAGATGTAAATATTTTCTTATTTCATGGGTCTTTCCTGTTAAATGCTTCACCTTAGCTCACAGAGGTGCCTTCAAAACCATGCTAAAGCCAACCCCAGTTCAGGGAAACTTGCTCCTTGTATTGGTAGGAGACAGGAAGTAAAATATGCCCTGGGGTGTGTGTGATGGCTCAGTGAACAAAGGTTCCTGTCACCAAGCCTTATAGCCCAAGTTTGATCCCTGGGCCCACATGTTGGAGGGAGAGAACTCCAAGTTTGTCCTCTGATCTGCACACACATGCTATAACACATATTCATACACACACACACACACACACACACACACACACACCCATCAGTAAATAAAAGATAATAAAAGTGGGGGCTGGAGAGATGGCTCAGAGGTTAAGCTCACTGACTGCTCTTCCTGAGGTCCTGAGTTCAATTCCCGGCAACCACATGGTGGCTCACAACCATCTGTAATGGAATCTGATGCCCTCTTCTGGTGTGTCTGAAAACAGTGACAGTGTACTCATACACATAAAATAAATAAATCCTTTTTTAAAAAGATAATAAAAGCATTCTGTTTTAAAATTCTAGTAGATGGTTGGGATTATGGTTAAGCTTCTCTTAGTGATATTTAAACTCTCACTCAGTTGTATGTATATATATAATGGTTTGTTCAAATCAAATCAGCAGATCTTTATCCAGGTCAACACCAAGTTAGACTAGGAGACACAGTGATGAATAAAACTCGGCCTGTGGTGGGAGGAAAGAGACAGATCCTCCTGCATATTTCCTTATTTGCTATCATAATAATCCTGAAGCACTATTCCTATTTTGCAAAAAGATAAGCAGACTCAGAGCAAGTAAATGATCTGTCTAAGGTCACAAAATCAGTTAAGATTGAGCCAAAATTAGATCCCAGAGCTATTCAACTCTAACGTGCTCCTTCCATTCCACCAGTCTATCTAAATATTAGTCACTGGCTCCTGGGAGTCTATAGGAATGGCAAGTAACAGTTTTCAATAGTGAGCAGTAACTACACATCTTGAAACAATTTTTAACTAGAGAATATTTCAAATATCATAGTATAAATAATAAGCACTGTGTACTCATCATGAGATAATATTTTATAGACAACCTTAACATGCCTTGTTTGTGTTAGGTTCATTTTACTTTGTTTTATAACGCTGGTAAGTAACCTAGAGTTCTATATGTGCAAAGCAGGTGCTCTACCACTTAGCTACATCTCCAGCCCCCCCCCCCCTTTTTTTTGGTTTGGTTTTTCGAGACAGGGTTTTCTCTGTGTAGCCCTGGCTGTCCTGGAACTCACTCTGTAGTCCAGGCTGGCCTCAAACTCTCGAACTCAGAAATCCGACTGCCTCTGCCTCCCAAGTGCTAGGATTAAAGGCGTGCGCCACCGCCACCTGGCCTCTCCAGCCCCTTTTAAAGTAGAGTTTAAAACAGGGTCTCATTGAGTTGTTGAGGCTGGCCAAAAGTGTTACCTAGCTTAGACTAACATCAAATTAGCAAACTTCTTGCTTCAGCCTTCCAAGGAGTTGTGATTACAGGGCGTCACCATTCAAGGAGTTGTGATTACGGGGCGTCACCATTCCCATCTGGGTCAGATGCTCTGTTTTCTTTTGTTTTGTTTTAAGATACAAACTATAATAGGAGCAGTCAAGATGTTCTACACTGTAACCCCATTCTCTCTCTCCTAACATGATCAATCCCATTCTCTCTGTCCTCGCGTGATCAATCCCATTCTCTCTGTCCTCACGTGATCAATCCCATTCTCTCTGTCCTCATGTGATCATGAATTTGGGGCTTATGGCTTTCATGCCTGATTCATTCCTTTTACTGTATCTTTTTTGTTTGTCATTTTAAAAAAAGATATATTTGCTGGGCAGTGGTGGCACACGCCTTTAATCTCACCACTATGGGAGGCAGAGGCAGGCAGATTTCTGAGTTCGAGGCCAGCCTGGTCTACAGACTATGTTCCAGGACAGCCAGGGCTACACAGAGAAACCCTGTCTCGAAAAACCAAAAAACCAACCAACCAAACAAACAAACCAAAAAGATATATTTATTTATTTTATGTATGTGAGGACACTGTGGTATGTCTCTTCAGACACACCAGAAGAGGGCATCAGATCCCATTACAGATGGTTGTGACCCACCATGTAGTTGCTGGGAATTGAACTCAGGACCTCTGGGAGAGCAATCAGTGCTCTTAACTGATGAGGCATCCCTCCAGCCCTGTCTTTTTTTTTTTTTTTTTAATATAGGGTTTCCTCTGTGTAGCCCTGGCCATCCTGGAACTTGCCCTGCAGACCAGGCTGGCCTTGAACTCAAGAGATTTGTGATTTGCTTGTGTCTGCCTCCTGAGTGCTGGGCTTAAAGGCATGTGCCACCACTACCTGGCTTCCTATTACTATATCTTTATAAAATCATAAATCTTATAGGTTTTTTAAACCTTTAAGAGTTATACCCAAATACATATAAGATTCTATACATTATATGTGTGTATGTGTGTATATGTATCAAATTCTATCTACCTTTTAGAGTTAAATATGTAAACAAGATACTGCTATGATTTTGATTCACAACATAGCTAATGAATTTTAATCATTTAAAATTATTTCTTCATAATTAAAGTACAATATTATCGATACTAACTTTTCTTTTTCTTGATGCAGATCATTCTCGAGTTCAAGTCTGGAAATTCGGGAACATTGTCATTGAACTCCTGTACCACTGGATCTACACTTGTTTAACTCTCATAGAACTAAAAAGCCAACAAGATATTTCCATTATACCTCCATTGCCCAAGAAGAGTACCACTTCCATTTATGCAATATCCTCAGAGAGATCAATTCGAGAGAAATTTTAAGGATTGGTACCATATCGGGACATGTTGATTGTGTCCATTGCTGTTAACCATGAAGTATTTTCAACTGGAAAGAATGCCCCATAGATATATCCTGCTCCCAGATAATCACCCAGTACTCTCTAAAGCCAAAAGTGCTACCTACGGGAGAAATTTTATCTAAAGAGTATGCATTAACGATGACCAATACCCAAAGTACCAGAATACATAATAGAATGTATTTTAGCTTGAGCTTTCTGTATGACAAGAGACTATTTTGGCTGTTTGGGAAGTTGCTTTTCATTAATTTAAAAAGCAAAATAAAGAGTACTGGGGTCTGGAAGGGGAGAAATGGCAGCTTTTACATCAAAAGAGTACCAAACAATAAAAATTTTAAGAAATGGACTTGTAACTGTTTTTTTTTTAGAATTTTTTTCAAAGACTATCCAAACACTACTTCACCATCTCTTCTTCATCTCTCCTTTTCTTAACAATTTAAAAGTCATTTTTATATTTCTGTTTGTTTGTTTGTTAGAAACAGAATCTCCATATATTTCTGAGGCTAGCCTGGAACTGGATATGTAGCCTAGGCTGGCTTTGAACTCCTGATATTCCTGCCTCAGCACCTTGAGGGCTGTGAGTATAATTATATACCCTGCCACAAATATCATTTCAATGAATAGGAAATGTTTGCCTATGGCTCACAGAATAAAGAAAACATCAAATTTTATTAACAAACTTCTCAAGTTTATAACTACAAAAGAATTTATATTTGCTCAAAGCTTGTTATTACAGCGAACTTTACTGCTGTGTTGTAAGATTTCATCTTCGTAAGATATTTTCTCACAAAGACGACAAACCCCATTTTTAATAAAAATTGGGAAATTAAACTTTACTTTTTTTTTTATCAGGTGACAGACTGTGATGTGTCCTGAGTGTCTTATAAGTGGAGATTGGCAGCCTGTACCCTTTCCTGATAAGATGCCAGTGTTATCTTGTCTCAGATGAGCTCACGACCGGCGTTACCAGCCTTGGCCACTTTGTCTTTAGAGGGAAGTATTTTCAGGCATTTGCAGCTGCATTTCTAGCAACAGTGCTCTTGAAGATATTAAACTGATAGCTATATATCCGGATGGCTTCAGAACAAACGTAAATACAGATGATGGTTGCAGGCAGCTGGGGAGAGGAAGGCCAAGCAGCTATTTATATTGTGGCTATGGGAATTAAATTTACTATGGCTTAGTGATGATAATAGATATTTTATATTTTCATGACTTTTCCTTCTTAATATTTGAGTTATCTTTTTTATGTGTATGAGTGTCTGCCTGAATGTGTGTTTGTGCATTGTGTGCAGTGTAGTGCCCCAGAGAGCCAGTCACAACCAAATGTGCGGGCCATTTAAGTGCTAGGAATCAAACTTTTTCCTCTGGATGAGCAACCAGTGTTCTCAACTGCTGAGTTGTGTCTGGCCCTGGGGATACAGCTCAGTGGGTAGTATAGTTGATGAGCAAGCATGAAGCCCTGGGATTCACCCCCAGCACCACATAAAATCAGAGGTGGTGACATACAACTCCGATCCCAGCACTTGGGGATGGAAAGCAGAAAGACCCAAATCTCAGTGTTCTCCATAGTAACTATGGGGCCACCACTTTATCCGATCCGCTATGTTTGCTCGCAAAAGGTCCTCCCAGATGAGCTCATCGACATTCCCTTGTAGGACATGGAGGATGGGGCTCCCACCTGAGCATCTAGCCACCCCGCCAATCAGTGGTTTGCAGTTCTGGCCTCCAGGAGGGACTAGAGTATATAATGTAAAAACAGGGATGGTCTGGGAGAAGAGACTCCAACTGTGCAACCATGGGAGAGTCCATGCTGGTGCAGACCTTCCAGTGTGGCTACCTTTAAGGTCCCCTATGTTCCTACCCATAACTCCTTGCCAGTGCTATGTAAAGAAGCCAAATAAACTCACTAGTTTCCTACGGTAAACTTTGGTGGAATGGTACCTGTTTGTGACTGGGACCTTGGGAGGAAGGGTAGGTGTTTACATCTTCTCCAGGGAAAGAATTTTAGCAACATTGGGATATGGAAGGCCCTAAATAAATAATTTCTTTCAACTGACAAGATCAATTAGCTGAATACAGCAAGGTGTATTAGTCAGGGTTCCCTAGAGTCATAGAATTTATAGAATGAATCTCTCTCTTTCTTCATATATATATACACATATACATATGTATGTACATGTACATATATATGTATATGTATATGTATATGTATATGTATATGTATATGTATATGTATATGTATATGTATATGGAACTTATTGGAATGACTTACAAATTGCAGTCCAACTAATCCAACAATGGCTGTGAATGGGAAGTTCAAGAATCTAGTACTTGCTCAGTCCCACAAGGCTAGGTGTCTCAGCTGGTCTTCTGTATCTGCTGGAATCCTGAAGAAGTAGGCTCCAATGGCTGTAAGGGAATGGATGTGCTAGCAAAGCAAGGCCAAGGAAAAACGTGTCCCCCGCCCCACTTTCAGATTGTATTGGACAACCTGGAATAGCCATCAGATAAGGCCTGCTTCTTTTTCCTGATGCAGTTCAGTAACTACCTTATACTCAAGTTATTAATCATTAAATTTTACCCCCTATTTGTAGCCTAAGCTTAAACTGTTCTCACAGATCTCAGTTGGGGAGGCTTCTTTGGGTGATGCCATTTTGTTTCATGTGACTCTGACTCTCTAGCCATGGCTGTTTGAATTAGGGATCATCATTTACTAAAATGAAGCCAACTTGTGAAGCAGACTTACAAAGACAAAAGTACTCAGCTGAGTGTGGTGCTGCAGCCCTGTAATCCCAGCACTGAAGAGGCTCAAGCAGGAGGCCTTCTAGTTCAAGGCCAGCCTGGGCTATAATAGAAAGACCACATTTCCTCTCTTCCTCCCAAAAACATACCCAAAGCAGACAGATAAAATTGAGACATAGCAAATGGAATAATTCCTTAAAAGATATTAAGTGTATAGAAGGGGATAAAACGTGATGGAGGGTGTGGAGGCCTGCTCCTTTTAACACAACTGCAGACATTCTGTATTCAGTCTGCATTTTGATTCTAAGGTGAAATTAAGTTCAGGTTCTCAGACTCCACTTCCCACAAGTTATTATCCATAGCTGACACTGAAAAATTCTCCTAAAAGGTCAAAACCGTACGGCTGTAATTCTCAGTCTCTGTTACCTCAATGCTCTGAAACTCCCCTGTCTACCGCCCCTTACCTCACAACTAATCAGCTGAAAGTTTGGCTGGTAATACTCTGTCTAGTTAGCCAAAATGTAATACTGCCTCCACCCTTGCCTTCTGAACTTCTGAACCTGCTTTTTCCTGCCCTGAGAACAGACTGTTCCACAATTAGGTTCCCGAGTCCTTTTTTGTGGTCCTGAACATTCAGTCTTGGGGTGTGTGTTCAATAAACTACTCTTGCTTAGCTGAGATCTGTGTTTGTAAGGTTTGTGTGATGATTCCCGACCTCAACAGTGGGTGTTCACAGAGCTGCTGCATGCTACTGTGGGTCAGCAGAAGTTGTAGAGAGGTGAAAGGTAACTAAGAAGCTGGAAGCAGAGGCTGTAAGTAGTGACAGTGACAATAGGTAATACTCGTGTCAAAAGATTAAACAGATAATCCACTGGTGTGGGTGCTACTGTTCCCACAGCTGTCTTGTTCTCAATACTAAGTGACCATTTTCTCAGAGCCAAAGGGAGTGGGAACTGTTACACATTCAGGGGTATGCTGGTGATAAGTTCTTTTCCTGGCCTAGCTCATGTCTGTATTGCATCTCATGTTAAAGAGTCCAGACCTGGGTTCTAAAGTCTCAGTGGCTTCTCTGTGTCCTTGAATCCTGTAGTAGCAATTACCACTGTAACTGCAGACTGACAACTAAGCAAAGAACCCTCTTCAACATTGTGCCTGAGAAGCCAAGATTCTAGAGGACTGCTTTATTACTGTGCCCCAAAGGCAATGGGAGATTTCTGATCATCTGGGATCCTGGGATCCCACTGGGCAGTCTTGTGTGATCTATTCCCATTTGATCTTTTTCAGCAGGAGGTAGATGGCCTTGACCCTTTTTTAAATTTTAAGCAAAGTAACACTTCCTGTTTGTTGAATCATCCTATTATATAATGCCTGCTGAGATCAGAAAATTTCTAGTCCCACCTCACTCCTATTTTCTTTATTTCAGAGTCATCTTCCAATTCTTTTTAGCCCTAGGAGTTGGCAAATAGCCAAGGAGCCAAACCTAGCCAGGTGTCTATCGTGGCAAACTATATTTTAGAAGCCCAGCATGGAAGCACACACTTACAATCCCAGAATTAGGAAGCTCAGGCAGGAAACCTGTACATTCTAGACCAACCCTGGCTACATAAAGGAGACTCTATTATTCAATATAAGAAGTCTGATTAGTGGGCTGGAGAGATGGCTCAGTGGTTAAGAGCACTGGCGGCTCTTCCAGAGGTCCTGAGTTCAATTCCCAGCAACCACATGGTGGCTCACAACCATCTGTAATGGGATCTGATGCCCTCTTCTGGTGTGTTTGAAGACAGCTACAGTGTGCTCACATACATACATAAATACATAAAATCTTTAAAAAAAAAAGTCTGAGTGGAATGTTGGCCACGTTGTCTATGGCTACCTTCACACCATGAGATCAAAGCTGAATATCTTCCAGAGACCACACAAGAAGTTCCTTACATATTTTTGCCAGTCTCTGCATGTCAGCCATAATTTTGATATTTACCTCTGCATTGCTAAATAGCATGGGTGGGTAGATACATTCTTTATGCTCCCGATTTGGGCATTATCCATTAACCTCCCAATATGACATGCTGGGACATCTTTTTGTACTCTGTGTAAAGGTGTGTCTTTGTCCTTCCTCACTTACCTAAGGCATTCTCTGATTGGCTTTAATAATAAACTGACAGCCAATAGCTAGGCAGGAGGGGATAGGAGAGGAGGGACTTCTGGACAGAAACAGGAACT